TTCAAGTTCTAGGCCCAGAAAAAAAAAAAGAAGGAAAATAAAAATAAAAGTTCATATTATATAAAAGACTCAAAGAGTTATGTAATAAAAATCTGTAACAGTTGATTTAATTGACTATGATTTTGGTTATTTCCAATAAACCTTTTTGTTTTTATCTAATTTCCTCTGATTTAAAATCATTCTGTAATGAAGGGACATCTTTGTAGACATATCTCAGAAAATATCTCTGTCTTTCTTCCCCAAGGTTGAATTCCTAGAAGTGATACAGGTAGATGTATTCAGGTGTGCTAAATTCCCTCAGGGAAGTCTGACTGGTTTGCCCTCATACCAGCTGTTTAAGAGAGTGCTCCAAAATCTTGAACATCTTAGTATTAAAGTAAATCTCTGAGTTTATTAAATATGGTTTTTCTCCTTTTCTAGTAATGCCTAATTAACTCTCAAAAGAACTCTGTAACTGCTTCTCAAGCCCCCCTGGTGAGTCAGAATTATCTCAATGGCTTGTTAAAGCCCATTACTGGGCCCTGTCCCCGGAGATTCTGATTTTCCAGATATGGAGTAGATGCTGAGGATATGTGGTTCTACAAGCGCTTGGGTGGGGATTTGTGGGCTGCACTCATGCTGTTGGATTCACAGCAATGGCTAATGCCCTATGGAACCTGCCTTACTCTGTACTGTAAATTCTGCTACGCAATCTGCTTTACTCAGAATACAGCTTCCAACCTATCCATTACCATCAGCAGGGGGTGGACTTGATCAGCATTCTGGAGTGAATAAGTATGCAAGGTAGTCCTGAGCACATACTGAGCTAAGAGCTGGAGTGACCAAATACCTCAAGTTTACTTCATTGTTGTTGTTTGCTTTTAAAAGTGTTCACACACACACACACACACATACCACACACACACACCAATTATTCACAGCTGGGCACTGGTGGCTCACACCGGTTGTCCTAGCTACTCAGAAGACTGAGTTCTGAAGATCACAGTTCAAAGTCAGCCCAGGCAGAAAAGTCCCTACCAGACTTAAATCTCCAATTAATCACTCAAAAACTGGAAGTAGAGCTATGGCTCAAAGTGATAGTGTGCTAGCCTTGAGCAAAATTGCTCAGGGGCAGTGTCTAGACCTTGAGTTCAAGTCCTACAACCAACAACAAAGTGTTCACTAGTGAAATACAGTAAAACTGTAAGCTAATACATACATATTTACACAATTTTATAGTAGAATTATTCATAGAAGCCAAAAAGCATAAATAAAATCGATGAATGAGTAAAAGATGACATATACGAAAAATGGCCTACTACTCAGCTGTAAAAAGTAGTGAAAGTGATACAACCTTGTATTCATTTTGCAGGCCAGCTCAGTCTAAGCCAAGACCCTGTCAAAAAAAAAAAAAAAAACCAAGTTGATGTGTTGTTATGTGCTACAACATAGATATGGATAAATCTTAAAGGCATGATGCTAAGTAAAGGAAGCCATAAAATGTCTAAAAACCTATTGAAACACAAAAGTAGAATAACTGGAATATAAATCAAGAACCCATTTTCCAAGATGGTATAATCTTATACATCTAGGAAACTAGAATGTGCTGACCCAAGACATGCTAAGTTGCTCTACTGAACATGAGTAGCTGAAGACACAGGAGATATAGCAGTTGGAGAAAAGGTCATCTGAACTGCCCCTGGCTGCTCCCTTCTGCAGCATACCAAAGAAATGCCTTTGAAAAAGGTGCCTTCCAGAATCGAGGTCAAACTATCAAAGAAACCTTTCAATGTCTTCTCCAGTATACTTGTTGGTTCCATATTAGCTCTCCATTGGAGGATATAACCAACTGTGGATTAAAAATATTTCTGGAAATACTACATCTGTACTGAACATGTACAGATATTACTACAAACAAGGCAGTACAACAATGAAATATAGTTTGCATTGTATTATATATTATGAACAATCTAGATATTCTTTCATTTCTATGTATGTAGGAAGTGGCTGAGTGTGCAGAGGTGATAGGGTGTGGATGTGGGCCATGTATAATTTGGTGGTAGGACACTTGCCTAGCATGGAAGAGGTGCTGATTTGGGTGCCAAGTATAGAAAAATAATTTTTTTGTGGCACAGATTTTAACTCAGAGCCTCAGACTTTCCAGGAGGCACTCTGCAGCCCTTTTTCATACTAACTGTATTTTTTTTGTATTTTTTTTGGGGGGGGTCCGGTCATGGGGCCTGAACTCTGGGCCTGGGCGCTGTCAGCTCTTCAGCTCAAGGCTAGCGCTCTACCACTTGAGCCACAGCACCACTTCCGGCTTTTTTCTTATGTGGTGCTGAGGAATCGAACCCAGGG